CTCCTCCCTCACAGCCACACATGAAACAAACAGTGCATAACATCTCAGATAGGATCCTCACCAAAGCCGAAACCAATGTCCTTTCCAAAGGATTCAACTTTGCAGTCACTCCCAAACACATACCCACTGAAACCATTATATGTGGAGTTGAAACCAGCCTGACCAAAATCAACCCCGACGATGCTAACAGAATCAGACTCGAAATCACCAACATCCTCTGTACCAGCAAGCCACCCAAAAGCAACTTACCCAAAGAGGAACAGACAGCACTACGTAACCTGAAAGAAGACACCAGCATAATAATCCTACCAGCAGACAAGGGCAACGCCACGGTGGTTATGAACACATCTGACTACCAAACCAAATTAACCAACCTACTTCAAGACTCCACATACAAACCCCTAAATACAGATCCCACCACCTACCTGGAAAAAACCACCAGATCCAAAATAAAAGCCTCCCCCATTAGCGAAGAGATCCAGCAAAGAATCATTCCCAGAGAGAAATCATCCAGATGCCCCAAACTCTATGGTCTCCCCAAGATACACAAGGAAGGAACCCCACTCAGACCTATAGTCAGCTCCATAGGCTCACCTCTACAAAACCTAGCCAAATTTCTCGCCAAACAACTACAGCCCTATGCAGAATCCATCACCTCACACGTAAAAAACTCATTCCACTTTATAGAGATCATAAAGAAACAAAACTTACAGCCCAGCGACCTACTCGTGAGCTTTGATGTCATATCCCTCTTCACCCAAGTGCCTATCAAAGAAGCCTTGACAGCTATCCAAAACAAATATAACCCCCCCAAACACATCTTAGATCTGACCAACCACTGCCTATCCAACACATACTTCATCTATAATGGACAAAAATACAAACAAACAGAAGGAGCACCCATGGGATCACCCCTCTCACCTGTCATTGCCAACCTCTACATGGAACACTTTGAAACCCAAGCTCTAGAAAAATCGGATCACAAACCCAAACTCTGGCTCAGATACGTAGATGACACCTTCATAATCTGGCCACATGGGAAAGAAAAACTGGACAACTTCCTCACACACCTCAACAGCCTACACCCCAAAATACAGTTCACCATGGAAACAGAAGCTAACAACCAACTTCCCTTCCTGGATGTCTTAGTCTACAAGAAATCCAATGGCTCCCTAGGACACACCATCTACCAGAAGAAAACACACACAAACCGCTATCTGCACGCTCTCTCACACCACCACCCAGCACAGATCAACTCTGTAGCCAAGACACTCATCTCCAGAACAAAACGCTTAGCTGACGAACAACACCTAAAACCCGAACTACACACTCTCACCAATGTACTAACATCCAATGGATTCCAAGAAATAAGATTACAAACCTAATCCAAAAAGAAACCCCCACTAAAATCCAAGACAAAGAACAAGAAAACGGCAAAGCCCTCCTCCCATACATAAAAGGCACCACAGACAGAATCAGTAAGATCCTCCATAAACACAACATCAAAACAGCATTCTGCACAAACAGAAAAATATCCACCATCCTTAGAAACCCCAAAGATAAAATTGAATTAGAAAATCAAGGAGTATACGAAATCCCATGCACCACTTGTCCCACCACATACATCGGACAAACCAACAGAAGAATAAGTGCACGCATTGAAGAACATAAGAACTCAGTCAAAAAAGAGGAACCAACATCTTCCCTGGTCCAACACCTTAAAGCCACAGGACATGAAATTGACTTTAAAAATACCAGAACCATTGCCAAAAGTGAACATTTTAATAACAGAATAATCAGAGAAGCCATCGAGATAGAAAAACGCCCACACAGCATGAACAAGCGAGATGATACCTCCCGCCTACCAGCCATTTGGAAACCCGCCCTTATTGACAAACGACTCCCTAATACAAAAAATGATACCAGACCCACACTCACAAAAACCACACAGGATGTTACCACCACACATCCACGCAAAAAGCAAACCCAAAGCCACACCGATGATGAGGCACGACCACAAACCAGAAGCCAGACCAGAGCTGCATCATTAGCCACTTTAAAGCCCTCCAATCCATACATGAAGCAAACTGACACCCTCCATGAAAATGAGGCACGACCACAAACGCGAAGCCAAAAAATAGCAAGGCAGCCCAAAATCTTAAACCCCTCTGCAACTCAGACTAACCTGAGCACAACCAAACAGAACACTCCCCCAGCCAATCAGAGCACAGCCAACCCCCCAGCCAATCAGAGCACAGCCACGCCCCTAACCAATCAGAACACACCTCCACCCAATCAGAACACAGCCAAGCTCCCACCCAATCAGTTCATACCCCCACTGGCAGTTAAAAGGAAGAAACAGCTAAGACCACACATTGCTGCTCGAAGCACGAAGCTGAAAACACCAGCCTGAAGATGACGAATGGGACTTCGTCGAAACGTCGCCAAGACACTTCCAATTTTACGCGGGAGAAAACCCGAACAACCAAAGACCTACATACAAACACCCGCGAAAACCTCAGAAAACATATATATATATATAATTTGTTTTCTGAGGTTTTCGCGGGTGTTTGTATGTAGGTCTTTGGTTATTCAGGTTTTCTCCGTGCGGGAGAAAACCTGAATAACCAAAGACCTACATATATATACATACATAGAGAGAGAGAGAGAGAGAGAGAGATCATCCATCGATGGAGGATTTAAAGGAGAGAGATGTGTGGGAAAGGATTGGAAGATAGGTTGGTTATGTAAATGTTATGCATATGAATTGCTATGTGAATTTAACTGGTGTTTTAAGATGATTGCCATCCAAACTAAAAAAAAAAAACAATGTTTCAGATATTTTAGTTCATACAAAGAATGGGGCAAAGTTGGTTTGTTCTGGAAATGGACCAAAGCATGATTCTTCTGGATAGAAGTGATTCAAAAGAAGTATGAGGAAGAAAAAGGCAAGGACATTAGCAGCAGCTTTTAGAAGGGAAGGGTAGCCACACAGAAGATCAGGAGAGGGTGGGCTGCTTGGATACTCTGTGCAGTAGCTACTAGGGAGAAGGGGGAGAGAGAGAGGGCAACCTGAACCAGTCTTGCCCTGTTTGCCCCATCACCACTCCAGAACATATCTTGAACTGGTGTTTTGCACAGAACATTAGGCACAAACCCCATGAACTTCAAAGAAGTCCTAGTTGCGTGACATAAAGGGACTGTTCTGTGTGCCAAGAGAATCTAATGTATCATTTGTTTGTTACAGATAATTTATTGATGGTGAGCAATGATAAAAATGGATTCAGAGGAAAAACAGATGAACTGACTTTATGAAGTAGTTCCGATTTGTTTTCTGGTTACATGTGGTGATAAGAATCCTGCCCATCCCATCTCCCACAGGAGTCTATTCTGTTTCTAGGTCCAATCAATACCTGCACATCAACCTCCAAACCATGTTCATCCCCTCTAGTCCATTCTTTTTTTAATGGGACAATGTCTAGTAGTATGGTCAATTAGGATGTGGAATCTAAAGTTTACAAAAGGTTTGCTTGATCATTGAAGGAACTCTTGGATTGTTTTGAATGAGCTATACATTAGAGTTTAAGGAACATGTCACCAACTTGGCAAAAGAGAAATCCACAAATCTGGGGTGTACACAAATAGAACAAGCGTTGGAAACACACTAGTGGATTATTGCCTTAGTGCCAACCAGGCTCTTTGATCTGCCTGTCTTTTTGTTACATTTTATTAATTAAATATATTCATGCTGACATGTTACAAGACAAAGCACAGCTATAGCGTCATCTTTATTTCCAAGAAAGTCTGTGAGCCATATGTTGGTTTTATAAGCATTCTCAGGAGCAACAACGACTGATGGTTGCAGCCCAATGCTTCCTTTGAAAACGTGCCCATCTGTTAGGAAAAAGTCAGCTAGGTGCAATACAGTAGATAAGAGGGGCTTGTGGAGGTGGGTGGGAATAGAAGAAAAATTGGAAGAGACAGAATCACCATGGCAACCATTTCTTAGAATCATTCCTGACAGATGGCTATTCCTTATGCTTTTCAAGTCCTTGAGTCAGCACAAAAATATGAAGGCTTGAATTGGGCTATCCTGACAGTCAATTACAAGGCTTGCAAGTAGTACTTTTATAGCTTTAATGTGGGAGAGATTAAGGAACGCAATGGGTGGATTTCCTGTTGATGGGAAAAAATCTCTCTCCCTAACATGGGATACAGCTGAAGCTTGGGAAGGAAGTGAGTTTTGATAGATGGCTTGACCCATCTGTCAGAATATGCCCATCAGTCCACACAGGGCATCAAATCTCTCAGCTAAACAATATTGTGATTGTCAAGAAATAATGTTTCTACTTGGCAGTCACTTTTGTTTCTCTCAAGCAAATGCTTTGAAGTGCCAACTTCTTAAACCTTCTTCCTTCAGTGAGATGACCTATCTCATGGGCTGGGTCAGACCCCCATGTTGGGACCTTCTGGTTTGGGATCTATCCCACTGCACCTTTGAGGAAACACACTGGAAACTCTCCTGATTTATTTTTATTATCTATTCTTGGCAATTGCAGTGCATAGGGCACTCAAATCAAAGCAACCCGGGGGATTTAAAGGTATTAGTGGGCAGATGTCCAGACAAAACTATTTTGTTATGAGACTAGAAAGCTATCCTGCAACAGCTTTTCCCATTTGACAAATGTTACAATCCAGGTCTCTCTCATTCTCCCACTCTCTCGTTTGCTCTTTTCCCATATAAGATGGCAAATGTTGGCAGGGCTGTGAGTAGGTTCTAGTAATGAACGCCCCACATCTCTTCCCCCCCTTCCCAGCATTGCTACTGAAGCTTCTCTTCTCTGCTGCATCCATTGCCTGAACAGCAATGAAAAGACAAAGCCCTGATCAGCTGGTAAAAAATAACTAATATCTCAGTCCCAGGTCCACCTTGTCCTACGACTATTCATTATGCTGATGAAAGTCAAGAAGCGGGTGTAAAATTACTTCCAAGTCAGAGCTTGCTATGTAAGATTTAATTTATTTGTTGAACAAACTGCTAGTTTTCATTTAGCTGTCGATCTTTAAAACAAAGGAATTAATACAAGTCCACGAAAGGCTTATTGGCTCATGTGGCCCTACGGTGGTGGGTCCCATCTGTGATTGTATTGCCCAATAAAAGTGGCCAGCAATGAGATAATCAGAGGTGATACAGAGAAGCCAGGCTTTCCTGGACAGGATAAGATATTGGCAAGCAAAATGTAGGAAGCTCAGGAATAGGTAGACCAAACTATGTTATGTGGCCAAGGTTAGCCTAGTGCAGGGGTAGGCAACCTTGGCTCTTTTATGACTCGTGGACCAATTCCCAGAATTCCTCAGCCAGCTTTGCTGGCTGAGGAATTCTGGGAGTTGAAGTCCACAAGTCTTAAAGTTGCTAAGGTTGAGAACCCCTGGCCTAGTGGTTCCTCTGCTTTTTGACAGAGGGCTTGTGGGGAGAGGGGGGACACTTGCAACAGAGGAGGGCTGAGGAAAAGAAAAAATTAGCTGCTTTTACGCCATTCATTTCCCCGCTGAAATTTCTGCTCAGTCTGAGAAAAACCTAGGGAAGTAATGAGAGCTGCACAAGATTTTTTTTTTTTTTTTTTTGGTCTGGCCCATGCTACCCCTGAGGTTTTTGTTTATTTCTTTGCTTGTTTGTTTGGCAAGTTTAGTTTCACCTCCAACTGTTGGTTATTTGAAAAGAATGCACTAGAAGGACACATGCGGTGTAAATGAGCCTTAGGGTCAAATCATACTGTAAACATAACTGGCCTTTTTAAAACTCGTATGTAATCATGCCCAAAGAATTGACATTCTTTATGACCTGTTGGACAGAACAAGGAAAAGCACGAGGCCGGAAGTGCTATAATGAACTGCTTTTCACCTCCAGATACCATGATACGCAGAGTTCAATGGTCACACCCATACCCAGCATAGGAAGTATAGGCAGAATAAGTCACCGGAAGCAGCATCTGTTCTTTTAAAGGGGTGACCGTGTCACCTGTTAACTACAGCTGATCCTTTTCACCTCCAGAACAGCATGGGTTACATATCTCCATTCTTTCCAGCTCTCCACTGTTTCATCTCAGTCCTGTAAGAGGAGTGGGTACTGCCGTTCCTTAGCTGCTGGTAACAATCTCCCAGCGACCTGGTTAGATCCTTAAGGCTCCTTTTCTGACTCATGTAGCTCAGCCGTACTGAACATGAGGCTTCATGGATGCCAGCATTTAAAATAATCATGAGTGAGGCCACCACTACCCTTTCTTAGACTTGATACCGTGTGAGGTGTGATATAACTCACACCAGGGTTGTCAATACAGGATAGAAAAACAATACTTTGGGTATTTGTTAAATCTCCAGCATTTTGACAGAAGGAAGGGATATCAATAGGCTCAGTTGATCAGCAAGGGCAAGGGGCTTCCATCAGGGCAAAGTTTTAGAAGGGTGGATTTTAATTTACGGGATGCTTTTGCCAAGAGTTGGCTCCATTTCCCCTTCAGTGGCTACTGCCTGCCTGGGCACCCGGTTTCTGTCCCCGGGCTGCTTGCCTCTTCCCTTTTTGCCACCATCCAGCAGGTTCCTGCTCTTTGGGAGTTTGCCTTTATGCCACGGTACACGATCTCCGCACCACACACGCTCACAGTACTCCTCCACTCTCTGTAGATTGCCATAGCCGATCAGATGCATGATGTCTTTGAACCACAATCGTTGTCCCTGCACCAGGCGGAGATTGGGAACTCGGCATGGAGGGCGAAGCAGCTCCTCCTCCTGCTCCCTCTGGAAAATTTGTTCCAGCTGCTCATTCTCAACCACTTCCAAAATGATTTTGGTGACAGTCTGAGTAAAGCCCTGCTCCTGAGACCTGCAGTAATAAGTTCCAGTATCCTGACGAAAGAGTTTCCGAAACAGCAAGCCGTACTCTGTCTTCATGATCCGCTCATCTGTTTTCACCTGGAAGAGCCAGGGAAAAAAAGAAAGAAAGAAATTAGGAAGCTAACGAGTTTTCTGGAAATTCAGTTTGATTTAATCAAGATACCACAGGGCAAGAAATGGGCAATAACAGGGCTGCAAACTTTCCCACAATCTTTCTTAATAACAAAAACCCAAACAGATTTGCGAATACGCTATGATTCATATGTTTTCTGACATATATTACAATATGCTTGAGTTGAAGCAGCAGCGTATGACAAAGGGAGAACAGTGTAGGTATGTGTAGAAATTTCAGTGGCGAGAAATGCACCTGGCTTCTCCCCATAAATAGTCAAGGTAGAATAAAAAAGTAAGCGCTTATTTCATGTGGCTGATGTGACTCTGAGAATCCAGAGATTTTTATTTATTTATTTATGAGACTTATATACCGCTTTAAGTGCAAGCACTCTCTAAGCGGTGTACACCAGTAAGCAATGTATATATATATTTACATTGCCCCCAACAATCTGGGTCCTCATTTTACCTACCCCGGAAGGATGGAAGGCTGAGTCAACCTTGAGCCGGAGAGATTTGAACCGCTGACCTGCTGAACACAGTCAGTAAAGTGGCCTGCAGTACTGCACTCTAACTGCTGCACCACCTCAGCTCTTACTTGTTTTATAATTGTTTTATAATTTTTTTTTAAGAAAAAAGAAAAAAAAAGAAAGTAGAATTACACTTACTAAATATTGAAGATACTGGTAAAGAATGATCCCAGAGACTGGAACATCTAGGAAAACTGATAGATGTATAAAATATTGCCCCTAAGATCAGAGCTGTTCAAAATAAAGCTATACCACTTCACTTCCCCTATTTCACCTATCTTTGTATTAGAGCTTCTGAAACATCCAGTCAGACTTTATATTTTCCCAAACCATGCTGCTTATCCTGATCCAGCATCTTATCTTTCCTTCAAATTGCCAGACTCCTTTGGTGGCTGGCAATTTTCAATAAATGAAAACATTTCTCTAGCTTTGAAATGTCCCCATCTATCCCCTTTTCTCTGCCGTTAGGTTGTGAATTCTTAGAGTGACTAGTTGTATGCTGGGTAATAATAGCGGTAATGCCGATAACGGAATTTTTCTAGGGAGATAGCAGCTCCTAAAGCCAGGCATGCCATCCCAGAAGCCCACCTAAAATGCTAACTACGGTCAGATATAGTACTTTTGTTCAAAAGCTCCATTTTGAAATGGTCTTCTCTTGCAAACATCTTTCACCTGCAAAGATGCATCCCAGCTGAGTCCCCTGACCCAAGACCCACCTTATAAAGGAAATCACCAGTACTGAGGCGAAATGAAAATAGCAGATAGATGTACGACTTGTTAATGTCTTCCTTTCTTTTTAATGATTGACTTATATTTATTTTTTTTATATACAAAGAACAAGGAGCCCAGCAGGAGCAGGACATTCCATTAATCTGTGTGGTCCTTCAGAAAGTTGAAGGGGAGACCTGGGAGGAGGTTTGACACCACTGCACCCTCAAGAGATACCAGCGCTGTCCTTATTAGCAAATGATTTTTGGAATGGAATTCAGCAGCTGTGTTTACTTATCAGTCCCACCTTTTATATCCCAATTGCTCAAAAAAAAAAAAAAAACACCCTCCTCTCCAATCATTGTGTATTATCACTTCACTTCCTGGGAATTAGACTTTTTCCTGGGAAAAAGAGGAGAAAGACCTCTCACGGTAGGGGATGGACTTACCTATTTTCAGTTTAGTCAAGAATTCCTAATCAAACTCCTCGAAGTAGCAAATCCAAGAACCAAAAGTTTGGTGTAGTGGTTAAGGCACTGACTTACAAACCAGGAGGCCATGAATTCTAGTCCCACCTTAGGCATGAAAGCTGGCTGGGTGACTTTGGGCCAGTCACTCTCTCTCAGTCCAACCCACCTCACTGGGTTGTTGTTGTGGGGAAAAAGAGGAGAAAGATGGAGTATGGGGTATCTTTGCTGTCTTGAGTAACTTATAAAGTAATAAAGACGGGATAATCTACTAAATGATCTACATGCAAATAAGATCGGGAAGAAAACCCTCTCCTTGAAGGCTAATTTCCATTACAAATAAGTATTTAGTGTGGAGCAGAATTCAGTATGAAGTGGTAAAATCAGTAACATGCTATGTACAGTATGTAGAATAATTCTTGGGCTTGTTTTAAATATTCACAGACTGTCCTTCATTTTGCTTGCATGATATTTCTCTGGCTTCCACAGTACTTACATACAATGAAAAGACAATTTTATTAATAATTTTGTAATTTTTAACCCAGCCTCTATGTTGTGATTTGATATGCAAGTCTGCCTGTTGAAAAAAATATTGTGATTATGGCAAAATTAATTTGTGAGAAAATATTCCCCAAATCCACACACTCTGAAGCAACAATGAAAGTTACAGAATTTTACTGAGAGCCACTCCCTAATATATATGTATTCCAAACCACTGAAATCAGGCCTGGAGATTTAAGAAACCATAGCAGGGAGAAGCAGGACTGTGCCATTATTCCAGTGACCTGCTTCAAAATTAATTAATTGGAGGGTCCCTACCTCCTAAATTACTAACTTTCCCTATAAGAATGGCCGTCATTTGCACAGAAAGAATGTAAATTTATCTTCCATGCTTTGAGTACAAAATAAATAAAATAATAAAAAAATAAACAGAAGGGGGGAAAAATAAACAGAAGGGGGGTTGTTAATATGCCATTTATTATGATTCAGTATTTTAAGATCTTGCTGTAATAGTTCAGTCCATTTTATTAAATATTTTATATTTAATATGTTCATCTTTCACCCACGTTTTTATGTGTTATTTTTTTAAGAATTTGCAGTGAAAAAATAATATATGCCTAAAATTTTAAACAATTATTCTGAAAGTATTTTCTGACAAAGTATTTGCTCGGATATTTCACTGCCCTAAAATGTATAGCCAAATCTATCACCAAATATTTATTTGCCGAGAACTGCACCATAAAATTTAAAGAATAAGATCTGAAGGACATCTTTTTCCTTGGCCACCTATGAATTTAGGACAAAATTAATTTATTTTTGAATATTCAAATGATGGATTACAAAGTATCTTTATTAGGAGTTTAACTGCAAGGCGATCAAACTGGTCAGTCCTAGAGATCAACCCTGACTGCTCTTTAGAAGGCCAGATCCTGAAGTTGAAACTCAAATACTTTGGCCACCTAATGAGAAAGATGGACTCACTGGAGAAGAGCCTAATACTGGGAAAGATTGAGGGCAATAGAAGAAGGGGACGACAGAGAATGAGGTGGCTGGATGGAGTCACTGAAGCAGTAGGCATGAGCTTAAATGGACTCCAGAAAATGGTAGAGGACAGGAAGGCCTGGAGGAACGTTGTCCATGGGGTTGCGATGGGTCGGACACGACTTCGCAACTAACAAAAAATACTTGAATTCAGGGGATCTGAACATCAAGGCATGTCAGCAGAGATTGAAACTTCTTATGAGGTGTCATTCTGATCATTAGAAGATAAACAGAAAAAGAAACAAACTCCCCCCGCCTTCCTCAGTTGATCCTTGACCAGGACTTGTCCCTGCTGGTCCATTCCCAGATGTCCAAGCTTTTTGAGAATACCCCCACAGATATATATACACCCCCATGACACACACTCCTACAATGAGCTCTGAATTAGAGTTCTTTATTCCTCATCTTCTCTTCTTTACTTCAACTGCTGTTACTGAAATACTTGTGTTGATATTCCTGAGGTCCCCAATGTCTATTTCCGTGGTTACTTCCAGTATGAAAAAAAGCTGGAATATTATTTTCTAGTCTGAAAGGTAATTAATCTTTTAAGTGTATGGCATTTTCCTTCTTAGCTGCAGATGGTAAGTACCTCTTCTTAGTATACTCTCCACCAATATCACAACAATAATCTGCCCAAAAAATTTCTTCCCCACAGAGGGCTTGCCTGCCAAAGTAGTTCTTGACTGATGGTCATTTTGCCAATGTCTGAACACCAGCCATTTGCAAATTAACACTCTGGTTGCTATAGACTGCGGTTGCATCAGCAATCAATTCAGCTGTTTTAGCAAACTCACTGAATGCCTCCTTAAGGAATTCAGGGTCAGTTAGTAAAGTCTTAAACAACTCACATACCCATCTTCTCAGAGCTGGGGGGGGGCAGGGAGAGAGAGACAGCTATAAAAATAACTTCCAAGGCATGAAGGCCCACAACAGCTGTTTCATGTTATTTAAACTCTATCCATCTTACATTCAGTAAGATCCATAAGAACTGTACTTCCTTCTCTTTGGACCACTGTCTTGGCAATGATGGCTATGAGTAGTTTATTGACAGAAGACATTCCAAGTTATTGTATTGCCTCCTTAAAAAGGAGGTACAAATCAAGAGAGGAAAATGCTTTATATTTAGTAGGCTCAGTTACATGATAATCTATTTTCTTTTGTTCAAGTCCGGATACAAACCACTTTTATCCCCCAGCCCAGATGGAGCCAAGAATTAAAAAAAAAAAAATCAGAAGGGCAGATCACAACCACCAGGTGTAAGAATTTAGCTCTGCCTTATGACTGGAAGAGGTTGAGGGGACCTTTCTTATGGGTTCCATCTTCAGTAACCAAGAACTCCATATGTACTTACAGCCTGAAGAGAAAGCAATTTTATTGACAGACAGGGGACATTTCCACAGAATGGAAACGGGTATATTTGGCAGAGATCCTCAGCTTTTACAGCTGTACTGCAGACTGAAATTTAGTAAGTAAAGATCTCCCAGACCCCCACAATGCTCTATAATAATCAATAACTAGCGTAAGAAAACAGTCAAGACAAAAAAATGTGGTAGTGATGTGGCAGAAACAGCAGGAACAATAATGTGCTGACATGACTCATATATTTACATGAGAGAGTAAATGTTTGGGTATACTTAGAGGGAGAAGATTAAAGAAAATTGCCATTAAGAAAACAAAAGCAAGAGTGTCTCACCTCATCTCTTAGCTCCTCTGGAGATCTGCGTACAAACCATTGCACTGCAGCTTGGGGTGACTTGGGGATACACTCTAAGAAAGTACTGTTGTGCTCCGTACCATACACCACCTTCTCCTCAGTGCTGTCAAAGTCATCCACTACAAAAACACAAAAATGCTATTACCAAAGACCAATCGTTCTGTAAGTGCCCGTCTCCATAAAGGGAGGTCACAACAGCCCAGGATTGCTTCTGAACATGCGGGAGGTAGGAATGGGTTTAAAGCCTGGCCCATCCTGAGTCTTCGGTCTTTGATACAGAGAGAGATTTATTTCCCATCCCAAAAAACTGAATCAAAATTGCCAAAATGTTTGCAGGGTTAATTCAAGATGCCAAAGACTCCAAGCTTTCCTCTCTTTTCCAATATTCCACTGAAGATTATGGTGCTCTGTTTATGTTTTCAAATCATAAAATAGGCACTGCCCAAGGTAAAAGTTGGCCCAACTTCCTGTGAAAATGTTTGTTTCCATGAACACAGGGGTCATATTAGCGGTAACACAGCAGACACCTCACCTATTTGTAACTGATCTTAATGCTGCCATGTTCACGCTCTCCAGTGTTCTTGAAAGCCAAAGATATGGCAGGTAGCCCTCACAAAAGCCAGCCCATTCCGCTCTAAGCAGATATTCCCAAGTTTCTTCACCTGTCAGGTTTTGATCCAGGCACTGGTGCATGGGATTCCCATTCTGGATGTCTTGCCTGCGAAAGCGACGTTTGCCCGATTCCTGGTATCTGGTGCAAGTGAGGCCATCCCAGGCACAATATGGGTCCCGTGCCAGGCAACATTCTGCACAGGCGGTCCCGTAAATCTCACACTGATGCAGTTTCACTTGGGCCACACCGACCCGTGAGCCCACGTAAAGCATTTGCTGTCAAAGCAAACCAAAGCAGGGTTAATAGGAGAAACACCAAATCACCTTGAAGCTGGTGTTTTTAGTAGCCGCCTCATGCTGGTGAAGGGAGTAAAACACACAGTAAAATTGGTGGACATTTTTTTAAAACAGGGAGCAACCCACCCACCCTCCCCACTCACTAACACTGATGATATTACCTGGTTGGGTAATGAAATGTCTGCAAGTAAATAACCATGCTGAGAGAGCACCCAGGACTCCACAGTTCAACCCTGAACTATAGATATTCTCTTCTACTGGGACATCTTTTGTCTCTATCAGAATTTCCTCTGCAATTTTCAGAAAAGAAGACTGGGGTTTAGCTTGCTAAAGACACCTCCATATCATGATTCTGATCCTACTTGAAGCCAACTCTAAACCTGCCTAACTGGCTTGTCTGGAGAGTTGGCTGTCTTACTCCTAGCGGTGTTTTGGTTCAGTAAAACTGGAGTACATGTGTAGTGTTTGCTGGAATGCTGTTGCTGAATGGGAATTGTGAATGGAGGGGAGGGGTATCCTCCCTGGCTCATTTCCTGGGCCCAAGTGAGCGTTCACTCATTCCTTCTTCCACACCACTGAGGGTCAATTCCTACATCCTCAACTTTCTCGCTCCCCCTCCCCCATCCCATAACTCTTACGGGTCCTGGAAGAAATGCCCTGCCACAAAACTTGCTGATATGCTTTTGTTCTAGGTGTGCTTTTAAATACAGAAAACGAATGATGTCTAGGCCAGTGGTTCTCAACCTGTGGGTCGGGACCCCATTTGGGGTCGAATGACCATTTCACGGGGGTCGCCAAACAACGCAGTCCGCCATTTTTCCCCCTTTTCCTTAGCTATGCTACTCCCTTTTATTCTATTGGCTTTTGAAAGCCAACAGAATAGACTCTCTTGAATAGAGTCTAATTCTATTGGCTTTCAAAAGCCAATAGGAATTGTCCAGGCTGTCTCTGCCCTGCTGAGCCCGCCAAAAGTCCCATTCTGCAAACGGTGCTGCACCAGTTAAGTAGTCCTCGACTTGCGACCGGTTGAGTAGTCCTCAACTTATGACCGGTTGGGGGGTCATGGCATTAAAAAGGTTGAGAACCACTGGTCTAGACTATCTAGATAATTTCTTTTTACTTTTTTATTTTTCAGTTCCACCCCCTGCTTTATCTTACGTTCCCATAATAGTAACATGGCCATTGGAAACACTCAAGAGTCAATTTCCCTTTTGCTGTGAAATGGGTAATAGGAAATTTTTAGGACCTTTAGGACCCAGACAAAATTAGGGAGCAGATCCAGACTGAACTATCTTTTTCTAAGCTACCTTACTGATCAGCAGGCAGGAACACCGATTGGCTCATGCTGATCTTTTACAGGTAAGATGGCAAATGCCACACCTGCCATCTTGCTGTAGAAACAAGTGCAGCAAGGGTCAAATTTCATGGAAACAATGGGACCGGGAAGGACTGTTTAGTCTATACCCGCCCTGCTCCCCTCAACTAGACTTTCCTGATTTAAATTGCTGTCTTCCTTTTTCTACTGTATTTGGTTCTCTGAGTGAAAATATATGCAGCTGTGTCATCAACCTTCTTAAGTTACACTACAGCATTTGGAAGAGCAATAAAATTAAGTGGCTTTGGAATTCCCACAGTTTCCTGGATATGTTATGGCGTTATTTATGGCCATTCAGAATTGAAACTGATTGCATACATTCATGTCAAAGAAAATCTACTTGGTAACATCAGAGGTCTTAGAAGTCAAGACATACAGAAAGAAGCCACATTACATATGCCTTGAGATAATTAATATCTGCAGTGTCAGACTACAGTTAACATTTTTCACAGATCTGCGTGATTTAAAATAGAAATTCATGATTTAAATAATGATTTCTTATTTCTGATTTGCATATCAATCACTATTTGAGAATAATTGGGAAGTTGTCCGCTGTTTATAAAGCAGGCACATGTTTTCCCCCAATGTAGCACCCATTGAAATCTTGGACTACACAACCCATGATTTACAAACAGAATTCCCAGTCTATCTGAGATTATGGTTACTGAATCCAACAGAGCTGGATAATGTTAGATTGGAGGAAGGTAAATATTATTATGCTAGTTCCCTGTTTGGGTAAAAAGTGTTTGCTATGAAGTATCTGAACTTTTCCTGGTCTTATTAGAACTTAGTATCTTTATTGTATTTGTTTTATTCTAGCTAAATTTCAACAAAAAATCACCACAGTTTCCCGTAATCTAAAATCTGGTAAGTGTTTTGTTGGACTTTAGGCATGGTGGTGATTGAAAGCTGCTTTTACCACCACCACCACATTTCCATAAAGAATCTATTCTTTGGGGGTTGGTTGGTTCCTATTTTAAAATTTTTATTTGAAACAATCAAACCTTTGCATTGGCACTTTACTAGTTTAGCATCCACACTGTCTCATTACAGATCATATTATGATTTCCTTATATCCCCTGTGTTGACAGAGGATGACAGTATTGTTTATAAAATATAGTCCCTCCAGATCCTGTAAAATTATGTTTTCCCATTCGGTTTCTTTAGCACATGAATCTTATAGTTTATCAAGTAAAGTTACTGGCCAAATTTTATTTTGAATCACTTTATTGGCAAGAAGGGTGTTATATTTATTTTATGTATATAAAACTGAACTCTTTGTTGTGCATCCAAGGTGGAAAAATGTTAAAGCTGATACTTCTGCAAACTTTTGTGGCTCCTTTTTAATATGAAACAAATGTGATGTGTTTGACTATCTATCATATTGCTTGCAAAAATTTAGTAATTCTCTCCCTCCCTCTCTATACATACACACACACAAATACTGTGAATTTATTATTCATGCATAACATTATATAGCTTCAGTATTTAGATTAAATAGTAAAGAGATAATGGACACCCTTGATTAAAAACCTCAAAATATTAAACTGTCCACTTAGTTATAATTATTAATTTTTATCCAGGTCTTTATGGGTTTATGAATTTGATCTATTATGTCTAAAAAAATTGCCAAATTTAAATTTTTGTAAACTTCTTTTCAGAAATATTTTTTGTACACAATCAATATATCTAACTAACCCATTGATACCAAATTGATTTTACAGAAGAGTACAATGTTTACTAATTTTCTAATAGGACTGGCTATAGTTCTGTGACTAAATCCAGACAGGTTTGGATATATAATTTTATTTATAATTGAATTGAGGGGATTGGTAATAATTTAATGTATACAGTAGTTTATAATCAGTGTGAAGTAGAAAAATGGGTCAGTATAAAATTACATCTTGTGATTTCTTGCCTGGTTTGGAAATAAGGATAATTTTGCAATACAGGAAGATTTTTCTCTTGGATAATAAGATAATAAGAACTCTTGTATTTAAATATCCTTGCATTATTCCTAAAATTCATTACTTAGTCTGAATTGGTGACTGCCTTTCAGTACTAAAGTATCAGTAATTTAGATTATCATTAATTTCATCTGCTATGGAATTGCCTGAACTATATAAATCAGTCAAGAAATCATTAACTCATCATTCATATTTTAATGTGGTAAGCCATGCCTAGCTTAAATAATATTAATTTGAGTTTTATAGTAAAAATGCAAATAAATAGAGGTGGATGGTTTATTTTTACAATTCATTCATTACTTACCCGTTTCACAGAAATTTCCATCTCAGTGATAGGGACTGGTAGCTGAAGGGCAAGAAGACATGGCAAACTCAGCTAAAATATGTCACCAAAATGACTCCCAACCCTATCCTATGACTCTACATTTATGTATTTCTAATAGTCATAGAAGGTCATTATTGTCCCAGCTATTTTCTCACAAAAACAAATGTGTGCACACAAGGGCAGTTGGACAAATCACTTGTTTGAAAATTAAACTTTCAGTAAATCTGAAAATTAGGGCTAATGGAAGTATACAACCATTCTCTTTCCCAGATTACTCAATAGTTGTAAGTATAAATAAGTATACTTTCTATGGTCTTTTTCTCTTTTATCCTGAGAAAAACTGGATTATACAGAATGGAAAATTTGGGAGTGACAGCACAAAATCCAACAAGCAAGGATCTTGGGCTATCTAAAAAGCTGGGCAAGGTCCCATTATCTAGCCACATGGGAACCAAACCTAAAAGAAGGCTTACATAATTATTGCAGTATTCACATTATGGCTACTTTTATCATAGCTCCTTTACGTACTGCATGTATGCATACACATGTATCTGGATTAATAAAATACAATTTTTTACTTTCCCAGTGAAATTAATTAAAATTAATAAAAATTAATTAATACCAATTTTTTTTAAAAAAGAAATGGGATATCTTTTTGTTCAGGATGATGACTGTCTTCATAAAACACTTTGCAAATCTGGAATTACAGTATATAGCTAAATAGTAATCAGGCACAAAAGTGGTCCATCACCGTACATGTGTACATTGGTATTTTAAGACTTTGTTAGAGGAACAGATGTAAAGACTGTACAAGAAAACAGTGAATACCAAGCAATGTGCAACACAGTCAAAATTAGCCAGCCAGGATTGCTCCTTTGCTGATCTATATACACGAGGCTCGCATATATACTGGGTTTTTTTTTTTTTTTACTGTACCTTAAACACTTGAAGCTCTTCCAAAACGACTTCTTCAACAGCAGCAAAATTTCCTCTTTGTAGGGCTATGACCTTCAATATGGAGCCAGCCTCTGAAAGGGAGGAAGGAGAGAAAGAGCACTAAAACAAGGGCATCCCTGGGGTTGCCTAAAATCCTGGCAAAGCTGATTAGAAACTTTTTCAAGAGTTACTCTTGAATAGCAAGTAGTCTAGAATCTGACTCCTAGTTTTACACTACGAGATGCACTATGCTACTAGTATGTGATTTTGGACCTCTCCTTTGCATCTCTGAATCATTTTTATTCTTTCTCTACTTGAATCTTTTAAATTTAAAAGCTATTGGGGAAATGCTAATTTAAAAAGAAACTATTTTTCAATGCTCAACTTTCCACCTTAAAAAAATTAAGTGGTAATTTAACCAGTTCATTTTTTTTCTCATTCCCCAACCTTGAGTTGGAAAACATTTCATGTAGCTGGCCAAGCTATTGTTTTTCTCACCGTTGAATGGGGGCTACATTTTGAAATACAACAAGAAAAAGGACACAATTTCTAAGAAAGGAGCCTTAATGGGAGATAAATTTGAACATTCCTTCCACATAACACTGTAACTGGAGATTCCCTGAAAAAGTATTTTCCCTATTTTGCTGGTATAGGGCAAACTTCCTGTAGTGTCAAAACGTGCCAAATCATTCACAGTGCCGCATGGTGGTCACAGTTTAGTTCTAACTGCTTCATATCCTGACAAATTGGTCCAAATGGCTCACTTCTATTCTGAATTCAGCCAAACGTGATGCACAGGCCTTGTTTCAATGCATAGCAAAGTTTCCCTTGCCCATTTATCAGTATTTTACCCAAGACTCCTTTTCAATGTCAGGATATAATCTGAAGATTTGAAAATTCAGGAGATTATCTTCAAACTCACAAATTCTTCCACATAATGACAAGTAACTCCGTATTCTGCATACAGTATGCAGTTTGGAAGAGAGGATGTTCAGGTACTGCTGAACCCCAATACATCGCGTGATTAATGCCACACCTGTGCCAATGAACATGACATCATAATGCCCGTCCTCAGCTTCCACACGGTCCACCACAATCTGCCGTAGGCGATGCTGCAGATTGGTTTTCACCAGCACAGGCCACCGTTGTAGTGGATACACAGATTTGCTCATCAGGGGGTGAGCACGCGCAAATTGCAGTACCTCATCTGGGTAGTCTTTGGTGGAGGAGTACTGACGACTTGGCTGGTTGGTGGTTTTGCTGGGGCACTAGGAGAAAGGGCACGATTTTAGCAAATAGCTAAATAGCTATTTATCAGGAATCAAAGCCAACCCTTTCCCCCATTTCATTACATTCCTTTATTCTTCCCATGCTGGCAAAATTTATTCCAGAAGTTGAGGAAATTGTTTTACTGTCATTTCCACTGACATGAATAGTTCTGGCAGCTTTGGATAATCACAAAAAAAAATGATATTTTGCATGTTATTTTTTAATTTCTTTGTTTCATGGCAAATTGCTCTTCCTATATACTGTTCTTTTCTTTTTTCCCCCCAGGAAAATCATCATCTTCATTCTTATACTTACAACTCCTGGCCTTGGATAAGGCACCTTGCCCTCATAAGCTGCCCACTGATGATCAGGACCATCTTTATGAGCAAATGGCCCGTTAAAAACCTCCCAGATGTCTGCCATACGATAGACACAGATGGCGAAGCCTTGGAAGACATTGCTGTAATGAGAAAAATTTATCCAAATATTGTTTGTAATACAAGATTTAAATGTAACTGAGATTTGCTTCTTATCTCTCTAGGCTGCAATTCAGAAAAAAAATGAAAAAATTGCTTTTACGTAAATAAATGCCTAGTTTTTTGGAAAAACTAATTCATACCGTATGAATTCTACTGAAGTTGACTGAAGAAGAATTGGAGAAACAGCAAACTATACTGAGTATACAAAAAATTATAAATTCATTATTAAGAACATTTTTAAAAGATTCACTGTTAAAAGTAATTATAGAAGAACTAGAAACCACAGATGGAAAAATCTCACCTGATGGTACTAAACAGTGCATAGACTTCAGGATTCTTGCCATCTTTAGCCCTCAGAAGAAAGACGTCCTCTGTTGAAAAGTGGAGGATCAAACAAGTTCTATAACTGTTCTGTCAATATACTCACTCTACACAAGCATTTCTCTAAGTGCTTTTTCTAATATCTTGCCAAACTCAGGAATTCTGGGAGTTGAAGTCCATAAGTCATTAAAAGGGCCATAGTTCTCTACCCCTGGCCTAGAAGATATTTGTGCTGTCCATTTTGTTTCACTGCTACTAGCTCCTCTTACACTAGCATTGCCCAATTTAAAAGAAAATTGCATGGCACCAGATTCTAGTGTAGGATCATAAACTTCTTTTGAAGTGAGGATTGTGCTGGTCTGTGGGTGATATGCTGGAGAAGTGACCCAATTCCAAACACTGGGCAGTTGGGCAGAGCCAGAATAAGACTACAATTGGTTTCATTAGTATGCAATTAAACATCAAGGGAGTCAAGCTATTCTCCAAAGCACCTGAAGGCAGGACAAAAAGCAATGGATGGAAACTAATCAAAGAGAGAAGCAACCTAGAACTAGGGAGAAATTTCCTGACAGTTAGAACAATTAATCAGTGGAACAACCTGCCTCCAGAAGCTGTGAATGCTCCAACACTGGAAGTTTTAAAGAAGAAATTGGACAGCCATTTGTCTGAAATAGTAGAGGATTTCCTTCCTGAGCAGGGGGTTGGACTAGAATAGGGCTTTTCAACCTTTTCACCGATTGTACCACTTTTAGAATATGGCAATATTTGAGTACCACGTCGCCTAGCAAGGGGTCAAAAGATTGATGACCCCCCCCAAAAAACGGAAAAAGGTGATTAAGTACAGGTAATCCTTGACTTACAACAGTTCGTTTAGTGACTGTTCAAAGTTACAACTGCACTGAAAAAAGTGACTTATGACCATTTTTCACACTTATGACTGTTGCAGCATCCCCAGGGTCATGTGATTTACATTTGGATGCTTGGCAACTGATTCATATTTATGATGGTCACATTGTCCCAGGGTCATGTGATCCCCTTTTGCAACCTTTTGACAAGCAAAGTCAGTGGGGAAACCAGATTCACTTAACAACTATGTTACTAATTTAACAACTGCAGTGATTCATTTAACAAGTATGGCAAGAAAAGTCATAAAATGGGGCAAAACTCATTTAACAAATTTCTCTCCCCCCCTTTTATATCTTCTCTTCTATCCCCCCCCCTTTTATATCCTCTTCTCTCCCCTTTATATCCTCTTCTCTCCCCCGTTTATATCCTCTCATCTCTCTCCGTTTTATATCCTCTCTTCTCTCCCTCCTTTTATATCCTCTTCTCACTCCTTTATATCCTCTCTCCCCTTTATATCCTCTTCTCTTCCCCCTTTTATATCCTCTCTCCCCCTCAGCAGCACCCAGGCAGGTAATGCCTCGTGTAGCTCCAGCTGAATCTCTGCCTGAAGACTGCATGAGGCTGCCTGCCACCCCCAAGGCCACAACCAATCAGCTGGAGTTGCACACTTCGATCCTGGGCTCTCCGTAGGACCCAGACAACACCTCACGCAGTTCCAGCAGACTTTCCCACAAGCCTGTGCGGCAGTGCCACTGCTTCACCTCATCCACTTTTACACTTTTTTTAACAGTGCTGTTCAATCTGTCGTATGTGTACCACGTGCCAGGTGCCGACATACACTAGTGTACGCATACCACAGATTGAAAAGCCCTGGACCAGAAGACCTCCAAGATCCCTTCCAATTCTATTATTATTATTATCATTAATAGGATTACTCTTCATCCATGCATTTAATAATTTCCCCTTTCTCCTATATCAAAAATTATAATTTGGTAATTTTCTGAAAGCCTTTGAAGATTGCAGACAAATCTTTTGGGGGCAGTATAAGGCCACGGATCTCAGATTATGAGTTCCTAACATAAGCATTTAAACTCCCAGTGATTTTTCATCAAGCTCTGATCAAATCTCCACTTGCTTAGTTTTAGGATTAATATAGCAGTAAATCTTCCTGGTCATTCCTTTGGCTCCACTTTTCCCCTACTGGAAATATAAATTCCTAATCCTCTACAAACCAACCAACTGTGATTATGGAATATAAATCACACCCAGTTCATCAAAGTGTGTGTCAATGCCATCTGGTCCTGGAACAGAACACACAAGACGGGCTTTGTTGAAAGTGCTCCATTTGTTGACCAGCACTCGTTGTCCACCAGCATCATTCTGAAAGAAGAGAAATAAATATTGTTCCGAAGTGAAAGACACTGATACAGTGGCACATAACAATTTTTGAACCTTTTGAATTTTTATTATTTCTGCACAAATATGACCTAAAACATGATCTTTCTCCACATAAGTCCTGAAACAAGATCCTGAGGACCTAGTTGAACAAACAAATCAAAAACATTTCACTGAGAGAAATGGCCCAAGGGTACTTTTAAAGGTTTTTTTTTTCCCCAAAGGACAACTGGACTGTTTTTTCCTTGAGAAAGAAGAAGACATTTCGCTTCTCATCCAAGAAGCTTCATCCGTTCTGCAGGATGGTGGGGATTAAGGAAGGATTCATTCTGACAGGATGGGGGGGGGGTTTGAAAAGAGCTCTTGAGGCCACCTGGGGGTTTATCTGTGCCCTCAGGGTCATCTGTATCAGAGTGCAAATGGGGGTGGAATCTTCTTGGAACTGCTGTCTCGTATCTGACCTTTCTCTAGGCAGCATCCCCTCCCCGTCTCCCAAGCTCTCCCACATCTCCCTCTTCCTCATTAGGAAAGAGAGGACCTGTTGTTGTCCCCTAAGCTTTGACACTTTAAATTAGTACCTATTTGGCCTTAGCCTAAGGCCAGCTCTCATCACAGTTCTGAGAGAGATCAGGAGGTGTTAGTCCAGAAACAATCCTGTGTCATGGCTCAGATTTGGTGAAGTCTTTTTTCTCCAGAAGTTCACCATTTTGTCTGAGTGGGCGTTGGAGAAATGGTTCGATTTTATCGATTTTGAGATTTTATATTTTGTTTTAGTTTCATGGAGATTATGAATTGGGCAGCACAGAAATTTTTGTAATAAGTGGGGGGGGGGGACTTTGAGTGACAGACGTAAGAAGAAGGGAGAAGAACTTTAAAACCAGATAGGAAAAAGGGGAAATAAAAAAAACCAAAGACAATCATATATACTATTTAAAAAAAAAGGGAGACGATGGCTTATCTAACATTGTAAACTCTAATTCTGCCCATAAGACTGGAGTTTTGATAATGCACCTCTAAACAGAAGTAACTTGTACTAATTCTACACACAATATTACTATTAATTATTCTGTTTATAATTAACTGCTCCCTTGAGAAACCGAATAATCCTTTCCCACACACACACACACACACACACACAAACAGACACACACACTTAAAATGTTACACTCCAAGAAAAACACTGATAAGACTGAAAGTAACAATCAACTTTATCGTTTGGGGAAGTTGGTGGCAAGACTTTAAATTATATTTATTTCTCCCCAAAATAAACTTTAGACTTCTGACTAAAATAAATCTCATTTCACCACAGGAAGCATAAAGAAGTAACAGTATACATACTAAAATTATTCTTTGCAACTAGAAAATGCAAAGAAAAATACCCCAACATCTCCAGAATCCCAGGAAAAACACAGAAGATCCTTGCTCAGCCTACACATGTAATATGACCCTAACCTACTTTTCATCACTGCCCTGCTCAATGAGGTTTTCATTCTCTCTCCCAAATATCAATATAACCCACAACTAACACGTGTTTCTTTTCCCCTGCCATAGAGGAACCAAAATAGACTCCAATTATCTTACCACAATCACCATCACTACATTTCAGGTATTGTTCTATGACAACTGTTCTTTTTCCTTCACAAAAGTAGCCCTACAAGATCCAGAAACCCCTCTGGGTTTATTGTGGATCAATACTCTCAAGGGACTGCAGCAATTGAACCCGGCCATTGTGTGTCTGTTTTGTCTGCTAAAGAGGCAAAAGGACAAGGCCACAGATTGTCTTAACTAAGCAGGGTACACCCCCCCTCCCCAGTCCTTGATTTATCTGTGTCCCTGCCAACTCTGCAAATCAAATAGATCCCCATCCTGGATGCCTCTTAAACACAAAATCCCTCTTTGTAGAAAGATTGGTTAATACAGCAAATAATTGCTTCATCTTTATGTTTTATTGTTTATTTGTAGGATTAGGATGAGAACAAGGAATTCACAGCCAGCAGAATTAGTCTATTTGCATGGAAATCTGCCATCTCCATTTCTCTAGTCCATTGTAGTGCATTGACTTTATGACTTGTTCTAGGGAGTTTGAATTATTGCAGGCAGGCGCCATCAGGAAAATTTCCAGCTGACAAACACTTCTCCTCAGCAGCTCTTTAGACAGAGAAAGGTTGTTGGGTTTTTTTTTCAATTTTTCAACAGCAGTGAATAGAGACTGAATCCTGTCTTGTCCATTAGGTTGGTTCTTAGCTTGGTAGAGGCCAAGCTCTGACTTTTGCTTCACAAACATGATAAGTCTTTGGATTGTTAGTTATAGCTGCTTCCAGATGTGTTTTTAGAATGCAGGCACTCTGCCTCAACAGGCAAATATTTAGAGTGGATTGGATGATCTTCCATTTCATACTCTCCCTCGCTCCACTTCTTATTTGATGTAGTTTTCCTTCTCTCTCTCTCTCTCTCTCTCTCTCTCTCTCTCTCACACACACACACACACACACACACACACACACACACACACAAAATTAAGAGGTGAAAGATGTTAATTGCTGTCCATCCACAAGGATCCTCTGGAAAAGTGTCTCCAAGGGGTCATTTTCTAATATATCTAGATTCTGAATAAGCATCTATGCTTCTCTGTTCAGATTTTATTTATTTATTTATTTTACAGGCTGTCCTCAAATTACCACCACAATTGACCCCAAAATTTCTGTTGTTAAGCAAGACATTTGTTAAGTGAGTTTTGCCCCATTTTTTTTGCTCCTTTATTGCCATACTTGCTAAATGAATCACTGAAATTGTTTAAGTTAGTAATATGGTTGTGAAATGAATCTAGCTTCCCCACTGACTTTACTTGTCAGAAGGTCGCAAAAGGTGATCACATGGCTGCAAGACCCTGCAACTATCACAAATATGAGTCAATTGCCAAGCGTCCACATTTTGCTCACGTTATCAGGGAATACTGCAACGGTCATAAGTGTGAAAAATCTTCCTAAGTCACTTTTTTCGGTGCCCCTGTAACTTTGAGCAGTCACTAAAGGAATTGTTATAAGTTGAGAATATTTGCTCCATTCTTCTGGCTAGAAAACATTAAGAGAGAAAAAGAATATACTGGCAAACATTTCATACAGAAGAACAGGAATATGTCTGAAGCATCTCCCAAAATAGGAACATGTGTGGAACACACCCAGGTTCAGGCCAAGCATCAAATGATAAATTAGAGAAAATTCTTTGCTGCCTGTTGTGCAGCATATTGGTTCTTCTGGCAATAGCCTCTCTTTCCCTGATTTAAGAGACAGTAGACTATTCTTTGTTTTAGTTGAATATAAACATTTAAAAAATCAGCTCTCCTAAAATATGCTGTGAATAATCCAAATACACTTTATCAAGTTGTAATATGACAGACTGCACACTCCAAAGTGCCTTATGTACCACACCCACTCTGCAGAGTCTAGGGAGCTGAGTCTTAAAGATGAGGCTAACAATGTATTAATATATCCCAGCATGGTGAAAACAATGGCAATAAATCACCAAAAGCGGGTCATAAATGAGCTGGCCAGTTGGAGCATAGGAGAATGGAGCCCTAGACTTGAACTAGCTTAACTGTTTGCAGTCTCTTTACACACCCGTAGACAGCTCCATCCAGCATTTTTGGCCTTCACTGTTGCCATGGAGCATCCATAGCTCTGAGGTATGGTAAGATGGAACAGTAGTACTCATTCATCAAAATGATAATGCTCTAGCATTGACCATAAGAACTGATGAATCCCAAGAATGAAGGGGGAGGGGAGCTAAAGAGATGAATGCATTTTACAAAGTGCTTAACGAAAAGTACTGGAACAATTTCAACCAAGGATGGAATAGTAGGCGGGGGTGAAAGACCCTTCACTTCCCCACTTGGTGGAGATGGTCTCTAACATTTCAAGTATACAAAGATGCTATGATGTTTTCTGGATACCTATTTCAAAGAGGGATCCTCTCTTAACAAGTAAGAAAATCTCTGTGGGGCCACTAGGAGTTGAAAACGATTGATTGCACGTAACTGTAAAGGAACTAGCAGTCAAGAAATATGTCACAGAGTAGCCCCGGATGAAGGGCTTGGAAAAGATATTCAGATGCTGAGGTTTTCCCTGTGCTCTCTGCTATGAAAGTGAAAGTTGGACTATGAAGAAGCTAGACAGAAAAAGTAATGACACTTCTGAGTTTCGGTGTTGAAGAAAATTCCCAAACCTACCACGGACAGCCAAAGAAACAAAACAAGTTCATTAGAACAAATCAACCCAGAGTTCTCTGTTGAGCCAGAAATGACCTAGTTCCATAGCTTACATAAGAAAAGATGAAGCTATTTGTCAAACCACTGATTCTTTCAAAGGCAACAGAAATAAACGTGGGCAAATAATTCTCTCAGGTCTCTACCAGGCAAGCCATTCTATCTGCTGTCTGAAAAATGGAGATGCCAGAATTGGATTGAAATGTGCTTTCTACGTTTATCATATATTTCACCACTGAACTGCATCACCTACTTATAATTTTAAAGTCAACAAAGTACTGCTTTTCTTGTGTAAGCAATCCAATGTGGGCCCTATCATTAGTCATTAGAGATATCTTGGGCAGTAGCTACCAAAAAACGGGAGTTATTAAGGGGAACTGTGTTCCTCACAGTCTGTCTGCATTGTATAAACTAACTTAACTCCCTCCAAAATGGCTAGAAAGTCAGTTTCTGTGCATTAAAGTCTATTCTTAAAGAGTGAGATTCAGATGACTACTTTTCTCAGGCTATGTGTTTTACTATGAGTATGCAGAATATTTCCCCGGGCTTATTTTTTTCAGATATTTTTTATCACACCTTTATTAGAAGAAACTGGACAGCCATTTGTCCAAAATGGTATAGGGTTACCTGCCTGAGCAGGGGGTTGGACTTGATGACCTCCAAGATCCCTTCCAACTTTATTATTATTATGGATCATCGCACAGTCAGCCAGATGTTCAGACTGGATTTGGCATTTTGTCTACCTATCGAGTCCTTACCCAGGACCTGGGATAGGCAGATGTGGATGTTTGATGGTATTACAGGTATCGTCGCAGGATGGAAGCAGTTCCTAGTAAGGCCGCCTTTTGCAATTGACTAATAGCAAATTTGTCAATGCCAATGGTGTTCAAGTGGTGCTCCAGTTGTTTTGGGATTGCACCCAAGGAGCCTATGACTATTGGTACTAATATTAATATTATTTCAAAGCAATGAAATAGTTTTACTTCCTAGTCCACCCTACAGTTTAGATTTTCCTGATAATCTCTCAATTCCAGATTTGACCTTGCTTAGCTTTTTCAAAGCAGTCAGATTGATTAGATGCTGAAATTTATTTGGGAAAACCGACATTTATTTATTTATTTATTTAAAATGGATAATTTGATCACGATCACATGGCATATCAAAATCAGAGGATCTGCTCCAGGTACTCTGCCAATAGCACTTAGCAAAAGCACTGATATACTGCTCCATAGTGCTTTATAGTACTCTCCAGGTGGTTTACAATATCAACATTATGTGTATATTTCCCCCAACAATCTGGGTCCTCATTTTACCAATCTCAGAAGGATGGAATGACTGAGTCAACCTCGAGCCTGTCAGGATCGAACTCCAGGCTGCGGAAAGAGTAGGCTAAGCTAAAGCATGGTAAGTATGATATCATTTCAGTTGTAGCATCCAATTTCCCCAGTAAAATACACCTAGCACCATCTTTGCTATTTTTTTGGTGCTATTTTTGGGGTGCCAAGCAAAAACACTTTTACTGTGCCTGGCTCTTTAATAATAATTCTGTTACTGCTTTTATTACTGCTTTTTCTTGTTACTGCCTTATTATTTTTATTCTGCATATATTTTATAACAATTTAATATATGTTTGAATTTCTTAAATTGTTTTAATACTTATTGTAAATCTCTTTGCATTTTTTAAATGAGCAAATAAAAATACTTTACGTTTAATGTTGTATGTGTGTATGTGTTTTATATGTACATAAAACCTTAAGATACTTAAAATTAATATATATTAAAATTTCATGAACACTGGCATGTAAAAATGTTCTGATTCCAAGCAAGTAAGTAAGACAGATTTAGCAACTGAAAAGAACCATTTAGACATTCGTTTTTTAAAAGAAAAAACATTCTGCTACCTGAAAACCTTATGAAGAGAACTGAGTGAAGATAATTCAAAACACTTTTAGTGAAAGAGATCCAATCCCAACCCCTCCAGGAACGTATGGAAACTTTTCTCTTATTTTATTGGAAAAGCTTGACAATTACCAAAGTTACAGAGAATTGTTAAAGCGGGTGCTGGTTGGGAGGGGAGGCGCCTTCCAGTCTCAAAAAAGGGTACAGGATTTTATTTGTCAGCTTAGCCCTCTGCTTTTAATGATGGAGAGTGACATTACGGATGGTATTAAAAAGTACAGCTCAGCTAGGTTTCAGATACAAATATAAAAAGGTGCTTCCGATAGTGGAGGGGGCTCTTCAGATAGCGCTTATCTGCAATTCCTTCAAACAACTGTGCTTTTTTTCCCTGGAATCATGCACTTGCTTTCCACAGCCAGTCAGTAATTTCAGCAAAGACATCTTTGGATTAAGGAGTCACACTAGGCATTACACAGGCAGCCACGTGAGCTTCGAAGCAGCATTTTGGCTTCAGATCTGAAGCACTGTACACCCCTATTAAAAAGTAAATACATCGGTGCTCGAACAAGAAAAGGTATTTGGTCAGTGAGAAAGAGAAAATGCAAGAGCTAGGAATGTATTTGCGATATGTTCGTTTTTCTCAGTTTTGGCTTTCTACATGAGACAGATGTCATAAAATACAAAGGGGAATATTTAAAGAGTTTTGCTAATGACCTATAACTCCAATGTATTTATTTTGTCCCTTCAAATTAGTTTTGACTCCTGTTGACTGCCTGCTCTTTTCTAGGCAAGGTTTTGGAAATGGTTTGCCGTGGCCTGCTTCCAGGGCTGAGACAATATGGCTGGTCCAAGATCAGTCAGTTGCCTCTGTACCTGAGGCAGGACCAGAATTCCAAGTTTCTAGCCGGACGCCTTAACAATTACACCAAACTGTCTCTCATGTTACCCGAATGACATATTCAATTACAATTAATATGGAGGTTCAGCGAAGAGGAGCTTCTACGATCAGCGCCTTTCCTATTTCTACCATTAGCCTGTTTCCTTGCAGAGCCAGTTTTTCATTACATTACACTTCATGCATGTGTGATGGAGAGAAATCCAGGAGGCAGAACCGAAGCTGGCCTTGAAAGGGCTTTGTGGAACCTTTGGCTAGAAGGAACTGCTCACAGGAGAACTGTAAACAGAAAGAAGGGAGGAAGTGAAAATGGCTTGAACAAAAAATAAAATAAAATAGGGCATTTCCATTTGGAAGAACAACTGAATTCAAAAGCTTTAAAGTATTACCCCTTCCTCCCATACAGCAACACCAGTCTCCTCCTCCCCCCCCCTCGTCACTTTTGGAAAAAAAAATCACAAGAAAGAGAATTACCAGAAATAAAAGATCCATGTTCTGTAACTTGGCTGGAAAAGAATTGTGTCAGGCAAGATTTATGCAGCCTGCGAGAGCCTGGCCCTACCAAAGAGGAGATCTTGATAGGAGAACTTAAGACCAGCCATGTGTTCCAAACAGACCTCCATTACATCACTCACTGCTCTTCTTTAGGAACCAGAGGCAAAGGGACAGCAAGTTTAACTTCAGTATAAAACAATTTAGTATAAATCAGGTTTTAGTTGGAGATAAACCAGAATCAACTAGGCTCACCTAAGTTTCAGATAATTTGTCAACATTTTCTCCTCCCCTGTTTCAAAACATTCCTTCCTTTTTTAAAAAAAAAATATCTTGCCAATGGTTCTATTTTTAGGTGGGTTGTTACTGGAAGCCAGTGAACATAGATTAAAGAACACTATTGGTAATCGTTTTTTTAAAAGCATTTTCCAGCTTTAACTAGCTGCATTTTCAGTTCTGGGTGTTAAAATAACATCCAGAACTGTTATGAATCCCAACAATGTTATATCACCCCATCATGAAGCTGATCACAAATAAGCAACTGCAGTGAATAAGGAGGGAGAAAAGACTGCCGCATAAAGCTACATACTGTGGCAAAGATATCAGGGAGCCTTTCTGTTATGTATCTGCTCTTGCAGCTTCATTTCTTTTTCACCATATGAGAGGGACTGTTTGGTACTTCCTTGCATGAAAACAGAGAGACCTTGTCTTTTGGGATGTAAGGCACTTTAAGTGAAAGGGAGTTTATATAAGCTGTGCAGATGTTCTAGCAGTAGAAAAAGAAAATATAGCGTGAAACCACATTGGCTCCCGTAGGCATTTTAATCTTAATTTGGATTTAGCAACACATCCAACTTTGGTTATTTCACTTTTCTTCATTAATTAAATTTATATGCTGTCTATCTCAATGCTGAGAGACTCTGAACACTTAGGCTACAATAGTCTATAAATTCTTACTTGATCACCTCTACCACTCACCAGAACTCATACCTAGTGATAGCATCTTCCCCAAATTCTTTAGCAAATTTATTTAGCCTCTCCAGGTTTTTGGAGCTGGGCTGGACAACTTTGTTTAACTGAAAGCAGACAAGACCTCCATGATCAGAGAGAAACCTTTTAAAATGTTTCCATGTTCAGTGCATCTGTAGCATTGCCAAGTCCTAGAGGCAATTCTTGCTTACCAGCAGAGCTTAGGGCTTCAACGGTTACGACTTTATTTTTCATTTGGACCCTTGGCTGCAGATCATACATGCCAATGCTTTCCGTGAAAGTTTTTTGTTCCACTCTCCAGAGGGGGGACTACAATTTTGTTTGATTATTCTTATGTGTAAATCCAAATTATCAATTCTTGGGTGTATTTTTAGTAAGGAAGCTAAGAATTCATATAGGGTCTTAAAAGCAAAAATGAAGCTGAAACACTTATCCCTTCTGGTGTGGAAAGCTGGCAATCTATACATTTTTGGTCTAGCCTCTGCTATTTCTGCATAAAAGTATGCAACGCCATTTAAGCCCCCAAATGAAATCTGTACAGCACCGTTTCTGCCACTGATACCAGGAGAGGATTCATCTTTAAACATATCTTTAAAAAATCAATATAATGAATATACACATTCAGATATTTTCATTTCTCATATTCTCATTTGAAGACTGAAGGCTATTATTGCTTAACCGTTTTCATAATAACCAGTAATGCCATAAATCACAAAATGGCTAAGTTATAAAGTGGCCTTATATCTATTAATAAATCTCTTTAAACTCACCCTTGAAATATAATTAGGCACCAGTCAAAGACCAAATGATCCATTTCACTGGTGCATAAAGATGTCAACTGACTCGTTTAACCTATATTTCTGATTTATTTATTACATTAATTTATATACTGCCTCCTTCTAGAACTCTAGCCAGCTTACAATAACATCCGCAAAACACATTACAATGTACCACTAAAACAACATAGCAACAATAAAAATAAAATAAAGACATATCATATGGCCTTTATCTTCAAGTATCATACAATAATTCAACTGCTTCTCCTAAATTAAATCCCAAAGGCTCATGAGAGGAGCAAGCAACCACTTCACAGGGGATAAGCTGTCCCAGGATCTACCGATTTTAAAATACGATATCCAGAGCTGCAAGATTGTTTTTTTTCCCCATTTTTAGTTCAACACCAGCTCACGTTTCTAAGGGGGCATCATTATGCCCAGAAATGACCTGAAAAACTCACCACACAGATTCTGCCCACACGGCTGAAGATGGCATGTCCTTTGCTGTCTGACTCTGCTGCCTTCTCCGTGAAGAAGAAATAGACTTTGTCATTGTCCCGATCATCATTCTCTGGGATCATATAAGCAGCAACAAATTTGGGAGCTGAAGAAAAAAATAATAATTGGACAGATTAAGAAAAAAGATCCCCAGAAGCAGTTTGTAACTTGGTGCTGGTCCTAAAAGTTTAAAATCTTGGCAGTTTCTGTCTTGGAACAGTTAATGAAGATTATTGCCAAGAGAGATAACAGATAAGAACTCTTATTAAAACTCTACAGGGTTAGTTATATAAACACTTCTCCATCTCCTCCTCCTTTCCCATGTACAAATTTACAGTGATCATGACCTCCATTTCAACTTTTTTCCCCGTTCTTATTTCTATGGACAACACTCCCTTTTTCATTGATTGCTGTGTACATTGTATAGGTTTCTGTCAGTCACTTTTCTTCTGGCTATCTTTGAGCTTTGCACAAGCTTTGTTTAATCCCCTTTATATCCTTGCCGTGATCCAGTGCACAAAATTCATGGAGCACACACCTATTTCATGCTTTGCCTAAAATGAAGCAATTCCAACTTCTCTAAGACTGCATATTTATATGTTCACTATATGTGCCTTTTGACTTGATGACTTAATTTTTCCCTACCATTAAGCAGCCTCTGGTCCATCTCTGTACGTAGAGAAGAGCGATGTCCCATGGTCCGGAAGATCACAGGGTCCCTGCCCAAGAAATCGGCTGTTAGCCCCGTATACAAGTCTCCACCTAGAGAATAAGTTCAATTAAAAACAGTAGCTGTTTATATACATGTTTTGTGTTTATTAAAACCTTTAATAGTAAAGGTACCAGCACATAAAGATGCTCTCATTATATTTAAAGGATTTCATGAGTATTCTGATTGCCTTATAACACAGGTCTGCAACCTTGACAACTTTAAGACCTGTGGACTTCAGCTCCCAGAATTCCTCAGCCAGCATAACTGGCTGAGGGATTCTGGGAACTGAAGTCCACAAGTCTTAAAGTTCAAGGTGAGAAAGCACAGCTTGCCTGCAGCCATCAATTGCATTTATGGCAGAGGTCAGATCTGAACGGGAGATTCCTTGGCTGCTGTTCTGACAAGTCTGTTCTCTCAATTTTCCGGGTCTTTCTAGAGCAGCCTTTTCTTATGCAACAGCCCATGGGACCTGATGGGGAGGGAAGTCCAGATGATTTCATCTACCATTTTTAATCCTCCCGTCTGTTCCTGTTACTTTTCCCATCATTTTTCTTATCACGGACAATTCATTACCAAAAGCAACACTGAAATGTATAGCACAATTTTTTGTGTGAGAGGAGGAAAGAAAATAATTGAAGCATGGGGGAAGCCGTTGTCCCTGGAGAGAATGAACGGAGTTTTGTAGCTGCCTTTCCTTTCTCGACTGTCTTTTCTTTTTCTTTTTTAAATTATGTGGACTCAAAATCACACTGAAATTCTAAATGAATGCGACTACATACTGGGAAGGAGCAGGCCTTACATCTATAGGGAAAACTCATCAACATAGTAAGTCTTTAAAAAGTCAGCCCAGTGTTTCTCAACTTTAGCAATCTTCAGATGCATCGATTTCCAGAATTCCCCAGCCTTAAAGTTGTCAAGGTTGAGAAATACTGGGTTAAACAATCCTTGTCCTCATCCTGGTCCTTCTCACAGATTCCACTGAGCATTAAAACATAATTTAAATATAAATCGGGAAATCGAGAATAGAAGAGGTGGCAGTCTTTTATTTCAGCAAAACAGCAACTGTTTTCTCCCCCAACCCACAGTACTGCTGCTATAGCTCCTGCTTATAAGGGTAGTCTTAGAAAACACAACGGGAACCCACATCTATTACAGAATCATAAATTCAGCAACTGCACAGCGGATTTTATATGGAATTCAAGAAAGGCCTCGGAGAAATACAGCCTCAGTAATGTATTATGTTTTTGGTTTTTTTGAGCTTTTTAATTTTGTTCATTATTGTTTGTATGTCACCCAGATAACAAATGGTGAGAGAGGAGGCTTTCTAATACATGCTTACAGACAAATAACCCAAGTTATTGATTATTGAGCAGAGTGACCAGCAGCAACCTGGAAGAATGGTCTGACAGATCCTTTCTAGACAGAAATTCTGAGTTCGCTTGAAGAACTGAATTCTCTATGGAGAACAGAAAAAGGCCAGGCAAAGAAGCCTATAAGATCAATTCCTGAAAAGTCCACCTGAGACAATGCAATTTTTCAATTGTTTCCAGCACCTATGTCTTAAACTGTAGACCACGGTAGCAGGAAAAAATATATGCATAAAATAATAAATATTCATGTATAGCTATTAGGATAAAAGATTCAGATTAATTTACTTTAGCACCTACTGAAAAATGTGCTTGCAAACGCCCGATTAGGCTCATGTGGACATCTGCCCCGGCCACTTTCTATACTGGTTGGATCCAAGCTGAACATGTGCTGGAAAGAGAAATGAAGGGAAGCAAATAGAGTCAAAGGAAACATGGAAGTATTTATGTGATAGAAATGAAGAGAACTCTAAAAGGCACTCAGATCGTAGGATGTGTAAGGAAACTCTTGTCATGATAGCATAGATTCACCAAGAGGAAGTAACAGCAGCTTTTTGTTCTTAATATAAGCAAAAATCAAGTTACTAAGACTGATATTCATCCCATTATTAACCCTATGGCTTTCTCAGTGCCAATAGATCTTGGAATGTTTACATATTTATGAATAATTTTAGCTGGTTATGTGTTGCTGGAATAAAAAATATATATTTCAAAATCAGTTGCCAATAAGGTATTAACACTGTCCCACTGTCTTTCTATCAATTTTGTCAGTCAGCATTTCAAAATCATAATGGACAAAACCTTGAAATTAATGGCTAGGATCTGAACTGTAAGGGGGAAAAAATTAAAGTTAATTAAACTTTAAGCTTTAGTGTTGTTGAGCATTTTAGAAAAGTTTACCTTCCTCTCCAAATCAATCACATTATCCCATCTCTAATGACACACAAATCTTATAAACTTAGCCTTTTTACCAAATTAGCCTTTCCCAGTTGAATTATAAATATATTTAATATACAAATATGAATTTGAATATATTAAACTTGCAAAATCTGCAAACATCTGGGAAACTGAAGAGAAGGAAAGTTAATCTAGATTGTAATGGTATAATTACAAGTGAAAAAAATGGAAAAGGGTTTATTCTTTTATTTCCTAAATTTATATCGCAACTTTCATTCAGAAATTCAAGGTGGCACGCCTAATGCCAAACTCTTGAAATTATTTATGGTATTTCCACTCCATACAAATTTCAGTGTTTATAATTCCCAATATTTTGCCTCAATTGTCTTCATTTCTGCCAGCTTGCTGGCATAGCATCCATGATGTAACAATATCTTGCCCCTTGAACTGCTACAAAAAACCTCTGGTCTTACATAATATAAAAGAACACACACAGAGAGACACCCACACAGATACCACATCATATTTTCCGTATGTACTATGAATCTCTCTGGCCACTTGCAAAAACAACAACAAATCTAAGTTGTTCTGGGAGGCAACCTATCACTATGTAAAGATGGTGAAACTGAGTTTTTTCATCAAAAGTTAGACCATTTTTTTCTAAATTTATTTTGGTAATAATTACTATTACAGCAAAACTTTGCTGCCACCTCAAATAATAAATAAGTTCTTGTAGTGAAGTTATATATCCTTTTTAACAACGCAGTAACACTGTATGAAGAAATGAAACAGGGTAGACATTGTTCCTTTATAGTGGAACATTTATAAAGGTATTTCAAAACTTATTTGAAATGCTTATTTACAAAAATCGCCAATAATTGACCGACCCACCTTACCTTTCCTTCCTTCCTTCCTTCCTTCCTTCCTTCCTTCCTTCCTTCCTTCCTTCCTTCCTTCCTTCCTTCCTTCCTTCCTTCCTTCCTCCCTCCCTCCCTCCCTCCCTCCCTCCCTCCCTGTTATCGCCACTTCCCTTTTTTTTAACCATAGTCACTTGACACCTGACGACTTCTCCTCAATTCTCTCAATTTTCTGCCTCTTTTATATAAGGAAGTGTCCAGTGAGCTCTTGCTTGCCTTCTACTAATATATCAGTCTATGATTCCTGCACATCATTACTTCTACTTCTATTAAAAATTCTCTGCTTGCTATGATTCCAGTAGGATAACAAAGTGACATTTTTGCAGCAAAAGTGTTTTGCAATAACTTCACCCTGGCTCTCAATTGCAGAGTAGAGCATCTATGTGATGGGCAGGGAAGGGAGAGAGTAGCATTCTTGAGCCCAAAATCTAGGTGATGTGGGGAAGCAACCATTTTGTGTACAGTGCTTCCAACAGTAATGAAAATCAAACCAAGAAACTCTTTGCTGATATTCATGATGATGACAATAATAAAGTTTGTGAAATTGGCTACAAACTAGCTAGAAAGATTAATACTGGCCTGCTAAGAAGGTTGCTTATGTTTCTTTCCTAGCACAGTTAGGCTGCAGTAGAGGTTAAGGAGAAGCCTTAGTAGAGGTTAAGAAGTTTGGGTTTAAGAACTTAGAAACTCAGTAAAAAAGAGAGAGAGAGAGGAAAAACAATGCAAACTACAAGCCTCAGCATTGCCCCCCCCCCAAAAAAAGGTGTCAGTTTCATTCTAGGTTCAGATAAACCAGCATGGAGCCACAAAAAGGCTGACTCATCTCTTCAAATAAACGGACATTTGATTTTAGTATTGACTCTAAATGTTGTTGGTCAATGACAAAATACATGATGATCAAACTTACATTATATGGAGGTAAAGGCCACAACCCATCCTAGAATTGCATTAAATGTCCTTGCCACAGTTAACTGTTTGGTGAAATGTTTTTGGTGCAGACAGTCTTCACTATCCTGTTCAATTTCAAGAAATATCCCTCAGCTTAATGAAACTGTCTCCTTTGAAAATTGCAATGCTGATATTATTTCTGCAATTTTTGACTGTTTCTCTGGAGTCATTGCCGTGGCTGGACAAAGCGATCTCTTCAAATCACTTTCATTCAGGCTTTCTGCACACCCACACTTGGTATGACTTCCTTGCAGGCGCAACACAGGGCTTAGATTGTGTTTCTGCTTTTCATGGCAAACCAGGGTGATGTCAGTCTGTACATTTGGGGAGGGGCTTGCATGATGTGAGAAGTCCAAGTGATCATCCCAGGGGCTCATGATAAACAGCTGTGCTGAAAGGACTCTTTCTCCCACAGGCTTGGTCATAAAAGCTTCTGAAATTGCCAGAGCCAAGAAGGGTTACGAGGTGAAGTTGGGTGACCTTCCTGCTTAGGCCAGCTTGATTAATGAGGAAAGGACAAGAAATGCCACCCACAAATTTTATATCTGGTTGTTGATCAGGGTGTTTTTCATGAGAGGCCAGTGGGTCAAATGGCTGCTAATTGGTTTTAACTCTTGGTTAGTTTTGATTTTATTTGTATTAGTTCTTTACAGAGCTAGACTATACATTTAAACTGAGTTTGATAGAATGCAACATTTTATTACTACCTTGTTACATGAAAGGTTTTGTAATTTATATATATATATAGAAAGGTGTTGCATATATGTGTGTGCGTACACACACACACACATACACATGAAGACAACCATACATTTTCATGAAGTAGCCCCCAAAGCCTTCTAAGAGATTGAGCTAATAATGGATCTGTCTGTCTGTCTGTCTGTCCGTCCGTCCGCCCGCCCATCCATCCATCCATCCATCATCTATCTATCTATCTATCTATCTATCTATCTATCTATCTATCTATCTATCTATCTATCTATCTATCTATCTATCTATCTCAAACTAACAGAATAATGTGGTCCTTCTGGTTGCAAGGATTTTGAACAATGTGATCAATAGGTGCAAATTACAGAAAGCGGATAGTTATTTTCTACAATAATGCTTCCAGACTTGGGCATTTGTAGGTACTTAAGCAAAATGACAACAGGTACAAGGGGGTTCACAAGGCAGTGAAATAAATCAAGATAATAAGTCTGCTTGCCATCTCAACTTTTTGATCTATTCACACACACCCCAAAAGTCCCTAAAGACAGCATTACCAAAAGACAAAATGACTAGTTTGGGGAACATAATCAGTTACAAACTATCAAAATATCAGATGATGTGCAGGCTCTCTCTCAGCAGATGATTTCTACTAATTTTACTTCATGCATTGGCCAAAGTTCCCGATGGAAACCATACACCAATTTTGTATTTAAAAGAAGATGATGATGATGCCTATTTGGGATCCAAAGGCATTTTTGAAAATTAAGACAACACTGGAGACTATTGTTTCATTTCCTAATTTAAAAGATTTCTTTAAAAATGTGAGAAAGCAGTAGCTTCCAAAGTAGATCTCACAGTTCCAAAGGAATCCATTCTTGGAAGTTACAGTATTTGTAGCTCATATCCCAAATATCTTATATAGGCCCAATATTTATGCTATCCCCCAACCACAAGACAGATGGCTTAATATTAATATAGACCATTATACAGTTGCAATTTCACTGTTTTTTATAGGTTGCTAGCACTGATGATGTTCCCTAGGTTGGGTTATGAAACAGGAAAACAATCAAGCCCAGAAAGCACCAAAAACTCCTCATTTTTTTAAATCTATCCCCATCTAACATTATTTCTGCACTCTCCATTTAAGTACACCTAGGAGTGAATGAACATGTTCAGATGGAATATGCAAATTAGGTTTAGTTTGGTTTGTTTTTTAAAAAAAGAGAGCAGACAGAAAAATAGGCAGAGGAAGAAAGCAGTATAAGTAGGAGTTAGATATGAATGAAGCAATACACTGATCAGTTTGACAGCTTCATATATCCTTGCATTCATTTCCTAGAAGGCTGAGAAAGCCGAACAAATTCCACAAAGGCAGTTATGTTAAGTTGCAACAACAAGGAGGCTAAGTGCACTAAACTGAGAAATCAAGGGGTTTTTTTCCTATTTGAGAAGCATAAGCACATAAATCAACTTTTCCAAATTTAACACAATATAAGACATTTAACACAAAGAATTGCAAACCTAGTTGCTGTCTGCATTGATTCCTTCTTGGAAATGGAACAATCACTGTTTAATCTTTCTGCATTAAGTGAGTAAACTTGTACACATACAAGAAAAGCTCTGTTAAATCAATCAAAGGCTTCTATATGGTTTCAAGAGATATCTGTCAGCTTATGAAACCATATGCTAGTCTGATCTAAAAGATCTTTTTTTCTTTTATTTGCAAAACTGTAGTTTACTGTATTTAATACACTGACTTGCTTTGAATATAACACTACATTATAGTTTTATAAAAACGATCCTCGCTTCCTCTCATGCCAGCACTCTTGTCTCTCCAACATTGTTGCAATCATTTACCATTTTGTGTAGCTACAACTCAGTTTCAATCCAGAAGCTACTTCTTTTCACCATTATTAAGGCCAGCCATACTACTACCCCATTGTCTGAAATCAATAGGCAGCTATTGATTTCTTTGCAGCTGCCTTGGAAATGGGAAGGCAAGGGAAGGCAAGCACAAGGGAGCTGAAGGGGGAAATGTGATGAAACATTAGAATGGGACTGGAAGGACATGGGTTCAGGTCTCACTCATCTGGCACACCCTTGGGACAGTCACTGCTTCTCAATCTTGTAAGGATCAATGGGGGAAGCTCCCTCCCCAAGGAGCCCTCCTTATTTCTATAGCAATCGGGATAGATGCTATAAATATAATATTGAATAAAATAAAAGAGCACCATTTTCCACAAGAAAAGGGAGGGTTTGGGAACTCTTTCCTCACCAACAAATCTTCCTTTATCTCCTTTATTTGCTTTATAGCCTACCTTTATTTTTTCCAATTCAGGGCAGGATATATCATCCTATTTTTCCTTTTCAAATCTTTCTGTGAGATGAGTTGGACTGTGAGAGAGAGACTTACTCAAAGTCACCCAACCAAGTTCAATGAATAATGGAGGTCTAGAGTTCATGGTCTGTAGAAGGTTTCTAGTCCAGCATCTTGGCTCTCTCAGTTGAAAAAAAGACTGACTGATTCAAAGAAACATTTTACAAACAAACAAAAGTCATCTCCTGCCACCCCAGGGCCACAATTGCTCTTAATAGAAAAGGGTCTCAGTCCTTCACTAGAGTACTTATAAGGTCTACCTCAGATGCACGTTGTCTCCTTACCTCTCCTCTGTGTCCCACATAGATGAAAGCACAGATGGGATGAAAAGCTCCAGTCCCGCAAGCTAAGAGATGAGTCCGGTTTAAAGGATAAAGAACTCGGATATAGTTTGCACACTCCGTCTGGAAAAGAAATGACAATTAGTATTTGCAATGCTTTCTACGTTTCTATGAAATAACTTCATTTGGATGGTCACAGCGAGGTATTGTGAATAAAAGAAGGTGTTGAGCAAAGGATGACACACTAGAAGCAGGGTGGACTTCTGATTCAAGGGATAAAGTATCATGAATAAATACAGAGTTATTGAGAACCAAGCTCAACTAGCTATAGCTCTGGTTTCTGAACACTGACTTTGGCCACTCCCTTTCACCTGTTTGGAACACCTTCCCACACAGAGATCCAGGAAAGCACCGCAATCCAATCATTCAACCTATCCCAGGAGGAAAGCATGTTGCGATGGTTGGGTCACCTGATCAATACATGGCTTAGTATGTTTTCTTCTCCTTTTGTACAATTGTACAACCATTCGTTAATTTATTACCTTCAGGGGAGTTTTCTTGTTTTATGAAGGTTTTGATTGTTAGCCATGTAGAGCCTTTGGGAATGGGCAGCTTAATAAAGAATAAATAATCAAAAACAGTAAAGTGATACATTGAGCATAATGAACCAAATAGCATTTTCCATTTGCCAAACTAATGTTATTTTAGATCCAATATCTATACTGAAGTATAGAAAACAAACCCCTTCTCATATTTCAAATTCTCACATGCCATTTCCCAGGGTTATAAAAATCTGTCTTCTCATTGAGACAATACCACCAACGATCATAGAACAGCTTTTGATCAGGCAGCAAACCTTTCTTGTGTTTTCCAAAGTGTATAGCAAATTCCTGTTTATCTGTACATTACAACCTCGTCCCATGTTCCTGTCACTTCAGCTGAACCAATGATGATCTTTCCTCACCTCTGACTGCGTGGATGACTGATGTGACTGAAACCATTGTATTATCATTCATAGGTCAGGAAGTGAGGTTGTCATATTGCCTTGTGCAGTGATATCCTGTATTAGCCTAAGTACATATTAGCCTAATGTAACACTGCTGTTAAATCAGCAGAAAACAGGAAGAAAGTATCACAATGGGTCTTAAAATAACATTTTCATTTAGAAATTCAAATGGGCATCTTGAAAGAAATTTATCCAGAAAATAAAGTGTATCCTGCCACAGTTCACAAGCATGTCCAATGCAGGAAGGGAGGACGGACAGATGGACAGACAGACAGACAGGCAGACAGACTTCTGCTTCCCAGTCTTCATTTTTCAGGTTAGATTTCTTTTACTCAGAAATGTTTATATGGACACACAGTCTCCATCATTTGGTGCCCACCACGTAGCCTCCTCTATATGTCTCTATTACAGACTTTTTAAAATTTAAAGTAAAACTTTGCCAGCACGAGGCAAAGCCAATCTCTAAAACAGTGCCAGTCTCTAACATCAGATTCATTTGTAGGAATGACATGCGGTCCTCAAAGATCCCATTGTGATGACAATATTTTGAAGGATTAGTTCTTTTTTTGATAAATGGGATGTAATGGGATACGCATAATCCTGCATGTGGCTGACACACGGTAGGTTCGTTTGGATAGGGAAATATATTGGGGATGCCCAACTCCACTTTACAATCCCTCCCATACCTTGCAGCAGGAGGTCCATTGGGTAAATGGTGCTACATTTCCCCAAGAACAGATGAAAGACAATTGTTTTTCTTGCTTTCTTCCTTTTCTGTAGCTTAAGGTTTAGCTTAACTAAATTCTCTTCCTTTTCCTCTGTAGCTTAACTTAAACAGGGAGATGTTAAAATCCTTTCAAAAAGAAATAACTGAAGTCTTTCTCAAAAAATTATAGAGGATTTAAGTAAAAGCAAAGGATAAAGAGTAGGGGGGAGAAAGGAAACATAAAGGGTTTCTAATGGGATTATCTCAGCTACTTCTCTATCAGCAAAACTCCAAAAATATTAATCTCCCATTTAGTTTGTCTGTTCCCTAGATGGCTATTTCCCCCACATCTTCAAGCAATTCCTGGATTGAAGTTCTGCCTCCCCGGATTTGATCCCAAAAGGGAAAAAGGAAAAAAGGCAGAGAGAGAATGGACTTGTCCCTTCCTCTTTTTAAAACCTACCTAAAAGGAGAATCTGTGAGATTCTTGCAGATTTTGGACATTTATGTCCATATTCCTGGATTGATAGACCCAGTTTTGCTTTCAGGTTTCAGCATCTGTATCCCTTGAGATCAGTGCCAGGTTTAGTCCTGGTAAGGCATTAAGCTATATTAAACTATATAAATTTAAACTAGAAGGCCTTAGAAAGGAACATATTGAAACATAATTTTGGGTGACCACAAAAAACATTGAAAACACTTATATATACCTTTTAATTAATTAATAACATTTAAAGTGAAAAATACAATTTATTTTCAAATGAATGTATTTATTGCTAACATATTTATCATTTGGCTGGCTTAGTATCTCTCATAAATTATAATATAGTACAACATGCCCTACATACTTAAATGTAATTTCTAAAAGCAAAAAGAAAACAAATAGCAAACATGTGGTGAGGTCCTAAGTTGTAGCTTGTTTGCCTTATATCTGAATCCAGCATTTCTTGAAACAGATTGTCCCATTCATTCATTCATTCATTTCCCACAAACCTGCCAAGGGAGCCATTTTGTGAAGGTACTTGATCTATTCTCAAAATCTCAAATGTACCCCCAGTTTAAAAGTATTGTCTATTCCTGATTTTAATTGCTCAGAAGTTGACTTTTATAGTAATCAAATGTTACTTTAAACTCCAACAGTTATAATAAAATTGTTGGCAGACTTTCTCAAAAAGTAGCTATATTCCAAACAAAGAGGACTTGATTTAGGAAGAGCTGATTCCAAAGACAATAAAGTTAAGAGGCCCGCTGATTAAAGGGGAAAAAAGAATACATATGATTTAATTGTTTGCTTTGTTTCCCACATGTAAAACAGGCTATGCTATAGAAATAAATTCATCCAGCAAGTTTCATAGAAAAATGGGAATCTGAATCTGGGTTTCTGTACTCCATGCTCATAATTTAACAGCTGTAGTACACAAGTTCAAAAGTATACTTTCAGAGCTACAAGTTATTGAAAAATATTCCTTCTGTTTCAGAAATGGAGAGAGTCTGGATTCTGTGACAGCCATCTCTACATGCTGGATTCCAGGCACCAAGATTATGGGAGATTAGAGATTCCTCCCTCAGAACAGAATACCAATGAAGTCTGGAGATACTGACTAGGCAACTTGATTCTATGGGCATAAAGCAATATATAACAATTTGAGGCCCATGAATAGAATGGGATTTGACATAAAACATTCGTTTCTAGGGTCCAGCAATCCCAAAAGTCGTCTTGGACTTTTCTCTGCTCTAAAAGTCTTATGAAAATTTAGGGAAACTTCAAATGAATTGGCTCATGCCCCAAATAAGAAAATAGCTGACTTATAAGCAGCCACTCTCTAATGCTTCAAACTAGATCAGCCTTACTCAACATGGTGTCCTATAATACCATAGTATTAAGTATTAAACTACAATACTTCAAGCCAGAGGGCTGATAGCTGTGCTGGATGGAGAATATGGGAATTGTAACCCAATGTATGCAGACAATACTAGCTTGGTAAAGACTGCTTAGAACAGTAAGATACATAATCTCTCTTTCTCAGAGCAAGATCTCCTCAGGACTTCTTAATCCATTTTGCTTTCTCCCCCCCCCCCAGGGAAAATTATTACTGAAAAAGAACATATCAGAATCAGAGCAAGGGCCTCAGAATCAGTTGCCTGCAAATTCCAGTTAAGATGTGTGTGTGGCGGAGGAAGTGTTGCTGGTAGGGAGACAATTACAGGAAATGAAGGAGACAAACAACCTTCATCTAGCCAAACCAGTTATTTAAAACGGAAGTTTAGTTACATAGCAGAATAACAAACGATTACTCAGAAGTCTGACCTGGATTAATTGTTGACTTTTCCGGAGCAGAAGTCATTGGCAGATAAACAGAGAGAAGCCATGGAGTCTATTGGAGGCACTGCCAGATTCCAATGGCCATCACACATAACAAACTACATGTATTGCTGTAGAAACCCAAGGTCTTACCCTCCCTTTCTTACACTCGTCTTTCCCTCTGCACCATATCATCAAACAGAACATGTCGTATCCCAGCTCTCATTTCTATTTTGAACACACCACTTAAAAAAAAAAAGTCCCTGGGTATTTCAAGTAAACTAAGAAGTAGGCTGCTCTCAAAACCAGGCAATAGTTGGTACCCACTTAAGACTACCCAGGGGTTATATTAAAATGGGAAATCTGACTGATACTAAGGAAGTATCACATGTTTTCATGATAAGTTCATGATGAGTTCAAGACTAAGTTAAAGGTGCTCATAATGCATCAGGTCGACTTCCAAACCAGAACTATTTAACCAAGAATTGCCTTTAATTCCAAAAGCCTTTTGAACGCAGAGCCTAGAAACCTGCAAAAGTTGCCACCAAACTGTAATTTTAACAAGGTAGCAGGGGAAAAAAATGATAAAATATCTCAGAAGAAAATAAACATAATAACAACAACAACAACAACAACATTGGAAGGACCTTGGAGGTCATCTAATTCAACCCCCTGCTCAGGCAGGAATACCATTTCAGACAAATGGCTATCCAGTCTCTTCTTAAAAACTTCCAGTGTTGGAGCATTCACAGCTTCTGGAGGCAGGTTGTTCCACTGGTTAATTGTTCTAACTGTCAGGAAGTTTCTCCTTAGTTCTAGGTTGCTTCTCTCCTTGATTAGTTGCCATCCGTTGCTTCTTGTCCTGCCTTCAGGTGCTTTGGAGAATAGCTTGACTCCCTCTTCTTTGTGGCAGCCCCTGAGATATTGGAATACTGCTATCATGTCCCCCCTCATCCTTCTCTTCGTTAAACTAGACATGCCCAATTCCAACAACTGTTCCTTATATGTTTTAGCGTCCAGTCTCCTAATCATCTTTGTTGCTCTTCTCTGTACTCTTTCTAGAGTCTCAACATCTGAGCCGAGGTGGTGCAGCAGTTAGAGTGCAGTAC